GCATAGTGACAGGCTTTTGAGGTTTATATGTCAGCCCTGCTTCTGGCCCAAGCTCTCTGCTTCCTGGTCAGCACCATGTGAAGAAACTGTTACCTATGCACCAGCTGCCAGACACTCTCGCCAACCAGGAGCATAGACAGCCATGTCTTCCCTACCCTGAAACTGAACTGAAATAAATCCTTCCTTCCCTAAGGTGTTTCAAGTATGTTTGCCACAGTGACAACAACAATGATCCCTAGAGCCAGCAGCAAGAGAAACAGAAGAGTAACAGGGAGTTAGGCAGACCCCAGAGGTCAGGACTTATCCATAGAGGGAAGCCCACAAGGGATGGTCTAAGCAACAGTGGAAGGGATGGGACTCAGTCACCCAGATGGCAGATCTGCTTCTGCATCAATCTGTATCCCTCCCATTCCCACTTCAGGATTATTGGCACTCCCAGGGCTCCCATACCCATATACACACGTATTACGGAAGAATACAGGACCAGAAGCTAAGACCAAGGTTCCAACCTTTGCTCTATCCTTCACCTCTCCTCAGTTTCCACATCTGTTAAGTGGGGAGAACCACTTGACTATTTAGAAAGATTGGAGGGAGCCTGTGAATGCCTGGCAGTGACAACCCTTGCATCGAAAGAACTGACTGGTTTCCTTTACCCTCAGCAAGCAGTTAGAGAAGCTGCCTCCCCTCCCTTCTGTCCAGGCCAAACTCTTGTCTGGAGAGACTTGTCCCCATCCCTGATGAGTGAACGAAGAGACGATGGACACCAAGCCAGAGGTCAGAGGTCTGGGGTATCAGAGCAACATTTCCCCTGCTTAGATTAAGGGCACTGCTTACAGTCACGACAGCTGTTGCCCATGCAGCGCCCCCAGCCTTGGCCCCTCCTTTCATCCCACCTCCTTACCCCTTAGATTCTGCCACAGTTTGAAAATGGCTTTTGCCCTCCCAAATGCCCATCTGTCAAAGACTGGGTCCCCTGGATGGTGTTAGTGGGCGTAGTGGGTCTTTCAGGGATGGGGCCCAGTGGGACATCCTGAGATCCTTGGCGCCATGGGCTGGTTCTCTCAGAGCCCTGAATTCTTACAAAATGGGTGCTGTAAAGGGGCAAGCCTGGCCCTGTGCATCCTTCCTCTCTTCCTCCTGGTTTCTTATTTCTAACCTCCCCAACTCTGTTCTACATAAAGCTCTTTACGTCGTAAGTACCTTGTCTCGGGTATTTAACTACAGAAATGAAAAATTTATCAAGACAAATTGCATCATCAATTTGCTGTCACCAGTTTCTTGATTCCCCCTGGCTCTGTTCTCCTCAACTTCACTTACATCCAAGCCTGTGAGTGTGGAAAGAGGGAAACTGTACAACAGAGGGAGCTGGGCCCATTGCACAGTGGGGTCCACTGCTCTCCAAGAGGAAAGAGCATTTCCTGGCAACCTTTAATAGCCTAAGAAGTCCTCTGAAGACAACCCCAGCTTTTCCTCTCTCCCTTCCCCTCCCTTTCTTCTCCGCCCAAGACTGTCTTTTGCTTTATGAGGCAAAAACAAGCAGCAAATTATGGGTTTCAGACCACCAGCCACCTTCTTCTGGACCCCAACTATTATTATGCCTAAACTGGCCCTACTCCAAATCAAGGTCACTCCCTCCCCGCCATGCTCTGCAGCAACCCCCTTGGACCTTCTAGGTCCTTGTCCCTGAGTTTACTTTTTTCCTGTATGTGTTGAATCACACACACATTTCCCCAGTTCCCATCCCTTCCTTGACCCCTACACCCCCAATAGTTATTGCTCATTTTCCATCACTGCCTGAAAAGAAATTTATGATCCCCACTCCACAGTCTCTCCCTCTCCTAATCTAATTGAACTCTGCCCTGCTGCCCCAGTACACTGAGTGTCCATGGTAACACTATCCACATGCTCCATGTGGCCCAATCCTATTACCACTTCTCTGAACTTATCCTGCCTCCTCTCTGAGCCTTCTTTGAGCTCCACTCTACTGAATGACCACCAACCTCCCAGGCACCATCGTCTCTGTTTCTTTGCTGGCCCCTCCTCCCCTGCATAACACCCAAACATTAAGATGTCCTTCCATTCTCTCTTTGTCCTGTTTCTTTCCTCTCTCGAGGAAACATGTTACCCCTAAGTGGCTTTGAGTAACATCATCATGTTGCTTAATCCCTAAGTGGCAGCCTGTGGCTCAGACGACTCTCCCTGGAGTCCTAGATACATAAACCCAGGTCTTCCTCAACATATCCACCTGGACACCCAAAGGGCATCTCAAGCCCATCACCACAACGAGAGCTCTTGGTTTCTGCCTCACTCCTGTCAGCCGTGTGAGCCCTCTGCCTCCAGGTAAATGGCCTTCCATCTGTGGTACTCTCTCCAGCCCCATGAACAACCTATCAAGAGCAGGCCTGTTGGTCTCTTTTGCAGGACTGACACAGCTCATTTCTCTCCACATCCATGGCCACCTTTCATGTCGCACACCTCTCCCTGGAGTTCCAGAAGTATGTGCCTGTGCTGCTTGTGTGTGTAGGAACCAATCTCAACGCACCCACCATCAGCAAGGTCCTTCCTTGCTAGAAATTCTCTGAAAGAGCTCCTGGCCTGAAGAAAGAAGTCCAGTCTTGTTGGCCTAATGAGAAGCATTCCCAGAGGCTCAGGTATTTGAATGCTTGATCAGTTGGTGGTGCTGTTTGGGGGAGGGTCATGGAACCTTCAGGAGGTGTGGCCTTGCTGGAGAAGCATGTCACTGGGGGCAGGCATTGAGAGTTTGTATCTCTGTCTCACCTCCAGTTTCTCTGCTTCCTGCATGTCCTTGAAGGTATGAGCTCTCAGCTTTCTGCTCTGGCTGCCTCCCTACCACCATGGACTCTTATCCCTCTGAGACAGCCTAAAAAATCTTCCATCTACAAGTTGCCTTGGTCATGGTGTTTTATCACAGTAACAGAAAAGTGACTAATACAGGGTTTGAAACCCTGCTGTGATCAGGCCCTCTCCATACTATGGTCACAGGCCTTCTTTTTACGTCCCAATTACAGTTCAGTCCTGGTCAAAGTCCTTTATACCAGCTCTAACTGCTGTCCAGGATTCTCATCCTTTAAACTTGGTGCTATGGTTTGAGTGTGACCCACCCCCCAAAGTCCATGTGCTGGATCCAATTCCTGAGTGTGGCAGTGTTTGGAGGAGGGGTCCAGCAGGATGTGTTGGGTGATGGGTGTGAAGCCCCTGTGAATGGATCAGTGTTTCTCTCAAGGGAGGGGTCACTACTGTGAGCACCAGTTGTTGGCTTTCCTGCCCTTCCAGTTTCCCCCATGAGTTGAAGAGTACAAGTCTCTTACCAGATGCGATTAGTCAGTCTAGGACTCCCAAGCCTCCAGAACTGTGAGCCAAATTAAATACCTTTCCTTTATAAGTTTCTCAGTCTCAGACATTCTGTTATAGTCACAGAAAATTTGGTCAGCCTGGCTCCTTCATGTTCTTCAAACTTGACTCTTCAGAGGACATCTAACCTGACATGGACAGCAGGTCCCTCTCACCTTATTACTGGACTGATCAGAAGAGCACTGTCACCATGTGCTTTGCTCTAACTGGTCACTGCTTTCTTTAGTATCCGTAATTATGCTCCCCATGAGCTCCATGAAGCCATGGATGTCACATCACATTCCCTATTCTGTCCCCAGAGCCAACTCTCAGTGACACACATAGAAGTATGTGGAATGAATTATGCTCTTGTCTTTCAGAAAGTCTGCAGCAAGTAGGTCAGGCAGCAAACAAGACAGAGTGCAGGACTGAGGCCACAGAAAAGCAGGTTTGTGATGATGGTGCATGGTAGGAAGGCACTGTGGTGCCTGGTCTCTCAGGTCAGACCCATGGGGATATCTGGCAGTATGTGGGGAGCAGGAGAGTTCTGGGTTGCAGCAGGAAGTGCAGTCAGGGATCTATCTATGGAGCAATTGTTCTTACAGCATAGGAAAGTCAGGCCAGCCCGCTCTTCAGAGCCTGGCCCTTGGTAGAGCTCAAGTGCAAGATCTCAGTGCCCAGGGTCCCCAATCTCCTGTTCCACCCCCACCCAGGCATCCTGCCAGTGATTCTGACCCAGTTCTCCCAGGAATGTCCTTCCCTCCAGGCCCCATCTTTTCTACCCTTTGGAACTCTACATTGGAGCCCTACCCTTTGGACTTGGCCTTGCGTGGGCCACTGCACCTAGCTGGCTGCCTCCCTGACTGCTCATGCCTGCCATGCCTCTGCTCTAGTCTGCTCCTCATACTATGGCTTCTGGTCTACCCATCACTCTCTCCTGAGCCCACACCAAGCTCCTTCCCCCCTGCCATCTAGCACCAAGTCTGCCTCCTGCCTCCTTCCCTCCTGCCATCTAGCACCAAGGCTGAGCCCCCTGCTGCCCAACACAGCACAGGGCCTGACATAGAAAAACACCGCAAGGAGGGACCCTGGAGGATCTGAACATACTTAAAATAGCCACCAAGAAAGAGGCTGAGAAGGTCTCAGTCCATGGAAAAGGGAAGGGAGAACATTCCTCTTTGTAATCAGACTCCAGCTTGAAGAAGGCCCCACTTTTCAGAACAACTTGACTGACAGGACACGCCAGCAGCACCAGGCCTGTGGCAGAAAGTCCAGCTGATGCCCCCAGGGGGGTGATGGGAAAGGATGGCAGGGGCTGTGGAAAGCACAGAGGCAGAAGAGCAGCAGCAGCCACTTACAGACTTGACATCCCACAGCTGGCCGAGCAGAGGGCATGGCAACCAGGATTCAGCCATAGACAGAGTGGGCTGAAAGCTGGAATGGGTCAGATGTTACCTGATAGGCAAGGTAGGGGAACATCACCCTCCAAGGCTACAGTCTTGCTGGCGAAGCCTTCAGCAAGGGCTACGCCTCCCCAAATCAACACACTCTGTGCTCTCCCCTCCCATGTCCATCTATATAACCTGAACTAGAAAGTGCAAGCCCCTCGCCCCCATTCATCTGTGGGGAAAGACTCAGTCGGGCCTTACTGTTGTCCAGATGGTTGGCCTTAATGATCTTCTCCGAGTAGTCAGAAATACTGGAGCATTCAATCTAGAAGGGACACAGAACAAAGCAGCTGAGTGTTAAAGAAGCACGGCTACCTGCTGCAGTTTGGACCCCCAATGTTCTCAAAGGGCCCATGTATGGAAGCTTGGGAACAGCCCCAGTCTATGGCACAATTCAGAAGCTCTAGGGCCCGGTTGGGAAGAACATTGGGGATATGACTGTGAAGGGATACTGGGGTCCAGCCCTCCCTCTCTTTGCTTCCTGGCCTCCATGAAGGAAGCAACTTTGCACTCTACCACATGCTCCCACCATGATGTGCCCTCTCGCCCCAGGCCTGAAACAACAGGATTAGTGGCTATGGACTGAGAAACTGAAACTGTGAGTAAAATAAACTTTTCTGCCTTTTAAGTTGGTTAGTTCAGGAATTTTGTGACAGCAACGGTAATCTAACACAACACCCAGAATCAGTTTATTAGATGGGGAAGTTGAGGTCCAGATAGGCACATGGCCTTGACCACAGCCACACAATGAATCTGTGATAGCTGGAAAAACTAAGGCCTGGCTCTCTCATCTGGGCCTTTTATTAAACTGGCCATCTTTGTCTGGAGACTGAAAGGCAGCTGTGAACCCATGGAGATCCTGTATCTGTGCCAGAGACTCGGGAGCAGCTGACTGAGGGGTGTCAAAAACTGAGCTCCTGGGGAGGGCTTGGGAGGCAGGGCTGTATCCGAGTTGCCACAAGAATTCCCTCTACATTCCTCCCACCAAGCCCTCCTGGAGTAAACTGGCCATATTCTTGGACAGGGAATCCAGTTCAGAACGTTAGGACTGGTCTGAAGATTCCCTCTTCCAAGATATATACACACTAACTCTCAACCCTTGGGATTATTTCAATAAATATTCTCCAAAGGCCTTTGTGTTGAGGACTCAAACCTTGGCCTCTAACGTTGTTGGGCCTAATAGAACCCTTAACAGGTAGAGCCTGATGGGAGGAAGTTAGGTCATTTGGTGAATGCTCTTAGATGTGAAATTAGGATTCTAAGCCCTTTCTCGTCTTTCCATTCTTTACCCACCAGGAAGCAAGGCCTTCCTCTACCACAAGCTCTCACCATGATGTGCTGGTTCATTACAGCCCCAAAGCAAGGATTCAACTGACCATGAGCTGAAACCTCTAAAACTGTGAGCTGAAGAAACCTTCCGTCTTTTTAAGTTGATTGTTTCAGGTATTTTTTTTTTTTACAGTAACTCAAAGCTGACTCACACAACCCTTCTATGGGATCCACCTTTGAAAGAATTTATTCCCTTTCATTGGGAAGTCTTTTCAGGCTCCCCAAATCTCTTAAGCAAAGAGTCAAAGTATCTGAGAAATAATTTAACCAAGAGATGACAGCAGGGCCTCATGGGAATGATTAAAGGCTAAACCCCATCCCAGGGGTTTGAGACCTGGGACATGTTCCCAAAGGGTGCTGGAAATTGAAGGGCATTTGTCAAGAGCCATCTACCTTTTTACCTGGCTCTCCCACAAAAGATGACCAGTGCTAAGACCCTGGGGCTTGGGAAGGGGTTGCTCTCTGAAGACGGGTCACTGGAAGGGTAACTGATGGCCTCTGTCCATACCCACTTTTGGGGCTGGGAAGGTGACCACTGAGGGGGAAGATGCCACTGGCTGGACTCCATCCTAGGAGGACTGACTCCCTTGGCTGTCAGGCCCTTGGCTTGCAGGTCCCACTCTACCTTCTTGGTCTCTTGTTCTTGCCATCCTGTCACCTTATGCTCATGAGGCTCCTGAGGTTACACTGAAGAGCACGGACTCTCCAGCTAGGCAGATGGTCTTGTCCTAACTGTGCCTCCCTAGCCTCTTACAATAGTTCCCTTCAGGTAGGTGTGTGTGGATGAGGTGAGCCCAGGCACGTTGATGACCTGTCCCGGGAAGCCCAGCCAACCAAGCTGAGGACTCTGGGTCGCCTTTGTTTCTGGTCCTTGCCCGTTCCTTTTCTTCCCTCTTCTTTCCTCTCTCACTTCATGCTCCATTCTCCTACTTTCTGCTTCATTTTCCTTCTTTTTACCTCAGTCCTCCTATTTTTCTAGCCTTTGTTTCCTGAGTCTCTCTAGCTTCTGTCTGTCTCTATTTCTCCCCTCACATCTCTCTTCACCTCTGCTTCTGCCCCCATTTTCTATCCCTAACCATGGCTCTCCTACTCTCCCCATGTCTCAGTGTCTCCAATGGAGGGAACAGTGGTCAAAGGGGAAGCCTGGAATAGAAGCCACGTATGGCAGGCAGACTGCCCCAAGTCACCACCATTGTAGGACACTGAGCAGGGGCCCTGACAACAATGGAAGCCCTGGTGATTTGAGAGCCAGGCAGTGTGCTGCCTTTCCCCGATCAGCCCCATCCAGACTGGCACTAAACTGGGCCTCGACCCCGAGAGGAAGAGTGTATAGGATCACCAGATGTAGGGCCTTCTGAAGCTTGTGACATCAGGCTTCCATTCAGGTGACAAGGCCCAAAATAAGGAAACCTGAATGTGGGGCAGGGTCACAGTGCTAATGGTAATGGTGGTGATGATGATGGTGATAGTAATGATGATAATGGAGCTGATAGAAATAATGGTGATGGTGATGGTGGAGATTATGGTGGTGAGAGTAGCTATGATGATGGTAATAGTGATGATGGTGATGATGGTCATATAATAATATACTTGATAGTAATTATTGTGACGGTGAAGGTGGTGATGATGGTGTGATGCTGATGCTGGTGATGACAGTGGTGATGGCAGTAGTGGTGTTGTTGGTGATGGTGAGTTGGTGGTAATGATGGTAATAGTGGTGGCTATGATTGTGATAGGTGATAGTGATGATGGTGATGGTAGTTATGATGGTGATGATGATGGTGGTGGTGGTGATGATGATAGTGATGATGGTGAAGATAGTGGCGGTGATGAGGATGGTGATGATAATAGAGACGGTGGTGATGATACTATGGTGGGGTGATGATGGGTCCATTCCCTCATGCATGACTTAGTTGAGTAATTTCAGTTGTTCCTGGCCAAAGCTGCACTAGAGAGATCTTGAGGCTAGAGTAGACTTCCAGAAGACTCTGCAAGCACAGTTAAAAGTGTTTTCCAAGCTGGGCCTAGAGGGAGAGGGCTGTCCCTGCTGGAGTCTTAGAGGAAGACCTCTGAAGCAGGGATGATCAAGGGGATTGAGAGGCTCTCGTCTTCCCTGGAGCCCGGGGTCTCTCAGAGCAGACTTCAGGGTGGCCAGCTAAAAGCAAAGAAGGTAAAGATACAGCTTCTCAGCTCATCAAGGGGGCCCCTGCCAACGGCTGCTGTTTGCCTTCCATCATGACCAAGATGAATTCATATTTTCCCACCCTGGACCCATGGCATTTCACCATTGTCCACCAGCAGCTCAAAACTATTTCAGGTTCTCTCCAGCCCATCTCTCTCCAGCCTTTGCAGCTGCATTGTGAGACCTGGCACCTTGGGAGGCTTTCTGGCCAGTCAGCTTCCATCTTTACCCTCAACAGCTATAGCCAACAAAGCAGCAAGATCTAAATCTACCTCCTAACTCATCAAACTAAGGATACAGGAGACTGGTCCTCTCCTAGGGACTCATCTCAACCATGAGAACATGAAGAATTGAGCAGAGTCCAGACAATAGTCCTCAGCACTTGCTATTGTGTCTGACACTCCCAATCACCCTCTGGCCAGGTACTGCTGTTGTACCCATTCTATAGATGGGGACACTGAGAAGCACATTATCCAAGGTCATGCACCTAATGAGAGGAAAAGCAAGGGTTCAAACCAGAGCTCTCATCTGAAACCATGCTGAGACTGATTTTCTCTGCCCCTCCAGGAAAAAAGATGGATTGTGGTGGAGGATGTGGCCGGTTCAGTGGTACAGCTCTTGTCTAGCATATATAAGACTCTGGTCTCCATCCTAGCATGCCACAAAGACACAAAAAGAGGTGGTGGGCCAGGGTGGGTCTTTGTAGGAAGGGCCAGAGAAAGTCACAGGCAGGGACCACTCTGGGGAGGCCAAGGGGAGAGAAGGCATGGCAGGCTCACCCCAAACACCTTCTTGGCTCCTGCTTTGGCAGCAAACATGGAGAGGATCCCTGTGCCACTCCCAACGTCCAGTACCACTTTGTCCTTGAACACATGCTTGTTATGGTACATGGAATTCCGGTAAGTGAGTGTCCGTACTTCGTCCTTCAACATTTCCTGTGGTGGAAGGAAAGGAAAGGTGTATTAGAGGGCTTGAGGCACCTGGGAGCACGTCTCCATCATGGACACCTGGATCATGCTGATAAAGTATTCTAGAAGCACAGTGGCATCCCTGGGCAGAGTTACTGAGGACACTGTGGCCCCACAGGCTGAAGGTCACCTGCTTCATTCCAAACTAGCTCTGTTTTAACTCTGCCAGAAAGGTAGCTAGGTGTTGTCAGAAGAGAAGTTCATTCCAAACCTGGACAGCTCCAGTATACCAAAGAACAAAAGGAAAGACCATCACAGCCCAGCACAAGAAATTTAAGTTAGAAAGCTCACCTTTCTGTCACTGGTGAAAGAATTGTCATTGACCAAGGTTTTTTGTTGCTTTTGTTTTTTAAGATTTTGGTATGTGTGTGTGTGTGTGTGTGTGCACGCGCGCATGTGCAAACACACACCACATGTACACAGGTGCTCACAGAAGCCAGAAGAGAGTCTCAGACCCAGCCAGAGTTACAGACCCAGTTGTGAGCCACTCACCGTGGGTGCTGAGAACCGAACTTGTGTCTTCCGCAAGAGCAGCAAGTGCTTCTACCCATGGAGCCATCTCTCCAGCCCCTGATCAAGCTTTTTTTTTTTTTAATTTTTAAAAATGATTTATTTAATAACAACATACTTGTATAAGTGTTATGTCTGCTGCACGTAGGTAAGTGCATCCGTGTCGTGCAATGCCCGCAGAGGACAGAAGAGGCTGTCAGATCCCCTGTAACTGGAGTTACAGATGGTTGTTAACTGCCGTGTGGGTGCTGGGAATTGACTGCAAGAGCAGTCAGTGCTCTTAACCACTGACCCATCTCTCTAGCCCCTTATTTTAGTTTTTTGAGACAGGTCTCGCTGTGTAACCTTGACTGCTCTGGAACTCACTATGTAGACCAGGCTGGCCTCAAAGTCATGGAGATCCCCTTACCTCTTGACTGCTGGGATTAAAGGGGTGAGCCACCACACCCAGCATTCTCTTTGTTTTACACAGTTCAGGATCCCTGCTCAGAGAATTGTCCCATTCACAATTAAGATAGGTCTTCC